AACGGCATGTCTGAAACATGGAAAGACTAAACTACACCTAGGTAGTAAATGTATGAAGACTTAGCGTGGCTCACGGCCATTCAGAAAGTCATGTACGGCAGTTCCCGCGTACGCATCAAAGACTGATGCGTCTGAACGTCACAAGTACAAACATGAGAAAAAGACACATTCTATTATATGAAATATAATAAGAACCCCCTGACAATTAAGAAAGACATTTGAAAACACCTTCGGAGTGTCTCCCGACCTCCGTAATGAAAAGACGAGCCAAGACAAGGCATTTTAATTAAAAACTCGGAAGCGACGGAAGGCCGAAGACTATTGGTAAACGCGTACGCATGCGCATCAACGCATCAGGAAACGTTAATCATTTTGTGATGTCATCTGTCAAACCGGTAAACTGGGCCATAGAAAGAAACACGCGAGATCATGCCAAGCTAAGAATAGCTACGTCGGCTAACTCCGCGTACGCATCAAACACTGATGCGTTTGAAAATGAAAGACGCGACACTACAAAATCTGTAGTGTTCACAGAGATAGACTACAAAATATACCACACGTTCATTAAATTTCATATTTGTAATTCGGACCGAAGTATCCCGCATTAAAACACATGTAAAACGTAGATAGGGGTTCCTGGAGTATATAAGGAGCGTGCTGGCAGGTCAAAAGGGAAGCAATCGTCCCCCGTTGACCAGCTAGTTGCACTCCAAGTAGAGACTTAGGAGGTGGACAGTTGTAATCAATTAAAGGAGATTTCTTCGTGGTCAGATAAGTACAGTGTGAACGAAGCCAGCGTGCTTGGGAGTCAACTTGCTTGGAGACTTTTGAATAAGAGGTTTTAAGGACACAGTATCATTTTAGACGAGACAGCGTACTCGTACCCTTGGTTTTGGAGCGTAGTGACATAATAAAAACTCACGGGAGTCATAAAAGTCAATTAAAGTCGTGTTTTGTGTTAATAAAAGAAACTGTGATCAAAGAACTTTGCATTTAAGAGACCAAGTTCCCAGAAAGATATACTTTGTTCTATTGAACTATTCTAAACCACACCTTATAATAAAAACCCAATTTTGAACGAAAACTCTTGAGACTTGAACCTAAGAAGACAAAAGTGGTATTTCTTAATACCAAAGGCCCTCGAACTCTTGCACCGAGATTGTGATAGTGTGTGTGTGTGTGTGTGAGTGAGTGTTAGGTGTTTAGGGTTTTCCCCCGACGCGCTTGATCCTTGTTTGCGTGTTTCGCACTTTCACGTTCATCCCCGTGCAAAGCGTATCAATGTGGGGATCGTTCATGTGGTCCACATGCATGCGGATAGACCCCCTCCAGAATCGATGTAACTGCAAGGGGTAAGAACACCAATTGGGAAAATGCGAACAGACTCACTATAACCCAAGTTAAAATCTCTCATCTGGGACTTTGTCTCATGACTCAGGTTGGCCATTAGATTATTGTTTATGACTAAAAGAAAGGTCAGAAACTTTCAAGAAGAAGTCATATGATAGTACATACCCTGAAGGGTCTGAGTATTGGCATTCAGCCTCTTGTCCCATGAACACCTTTTGAGATGCTTTGATAGTGTTGACTTCATGTATTTTTCTTTTGAGAAATTTCAGCTGCTCATCACAGCTAAGGATTTGTTAAGTATAAGCAAGGGAAGTCCTGAAAGAAAAGACATTCCTTTTTTCCTTTTTCGCCACTCTTTGCAACAACACCTTGTGAGATACCTTGATTTTTTCTTCAAGACCTTTCAACTGGTCCTCGAATCTATGGATATATTACTTTAAGTTGAAAAAAGGTGCCCTGAGAGAAGTGACGTACGTTGCTTCCGTGTCTGCCAATTCTTTCCTTGTTTGGATCAGAGCCGCTTTCTGTAGATTTGAACGCTCCATCAAGGGTGGTCTTGTAAAAGTGGCGATCGATGACTCCGGAACTGGACAAAGGATGTCCCAAGAGGTGTCAGAGGGGAAGGTCGGTGGGTGACACTCAAGGTGCTGGATGACAGTGATTGGCGCCCCAATGAAAGAAAATGGGAGTGATGGTTTTAGAGGTTTTGGGGGACTGCAGTAGCACCTTCATTGTGGTGGAGGTAAGAGAAAGAGCAGGGAATTAGGAGATTTGAAATGTTGAGACATTCTCATACAATCTTTCGCTGCCTCCTCCGAAATATACAGTTGCAGACAAACAAAGTCAACAAATTTATTGACCTATTTTTTGGGACTCCGAAAAACATCGGAATTGGTAGATAATGGTATAAATGGGTTCCTATTGATCTCCTTGATCAATTCCAACGAGCAGAATTCCCAGAAATGACAATATAAGGGTTTTATACCCCAAAAATTTGGCCAGTGCCTGAAAAAATAGCTAAAAATACGAAAAATATGCCAATGGACTCCTTTTTGTTTCCTCTCTTTGATTTTATCAAAGTCTCCCTGAAATATTGATGTCTTTGATGGTGGGAATTTTGCTAAAACTGTCACGTGGGCATACCCTTTCCGGTCAAGGTGCCCCGGAAAAAGATATAAATGGACCCTGGTTCATTTTTTCACGCATCTACTGCACCAGGGTTATAAATTGCACAGAATTGATCCAAAGATGGCCGACTCAGAAGACTTTTGGGTGCGTTGAAAACACCCAAAAATTTGGCCAAACCAAAAACGCGTGGGAAAATTAAGGGAACACCTTTTTTGAACAGTTTCGAGGTCTCTGAATCTGAATCTGAAGTCAGAATTTTGATAAAAATTCTGGTTCTCAAGTTATCAAATTTGATGACTTTGTTTGTCCGCAACTGTAGGGGAGCTCAGAGTTGAAACGGTCGCTTGTCATGCATCACATCTCAATTGATTATCATCTGTACCCGAGTACAAGAGACTAACATCTCAGTGCAATATTCCAACAGCGGCACTGACAAAGTTTTAGACCACATTTTTTGAAAACCCTCGTCTATAGCTTTGTTTTAGTATAAGTTTCGATGCTGAAAGCCATAAATGCAGATTCCGCCTCCATAGCAGCACACTTCAGAGGGACACCAAACGAGACCAAAACAGTTCATGCTGAACGACGATACAAGGCAAGGGGGTTTCCTATTCGAGACCCGCATACTTGACATCTGCGTTAGTGTCCAGCCACGCAAGCCATTTCTTGAGATATGATCCACCATGACAGACAGTTGAAGAATCGCCAACGATGCACTTCGGATTGGCGGGTCAGAATGAAAAGGTCGTCCTAAGTAGTTTGACTCACAAGGTGACGTTTCGCCCGAGTCATAGCAACTGGAAGAAGAAGTGAATGTCGGTCAACTATGTTTGAAAGAAAGGAGATGATCTCACCGTTCATTCTGCGTTTCTCCTTCAAAAATCCAACTTCCCTCTGCGAAAAGAGACGAATTCAACTATTGAGTTTCCTCAGCAAAGAGGGAAACAGGCTTACGGTGTCATTGCTTCGAACTAAGCTGATGATGATCACTTCCTTTTCTCTGCCTTGCATTCCATCCACTGTGCCAATCTCCAAATCGGGGCCGTATGTCGGGCGAAGGGTAGACGTCAGCAACGTCACCTGCGCTTGATATCTATGTAGACTTCAGTACCTTTACGATAATCAGCTTTCAATATCTCCACATACGGAGTGATGATGGCGATCTGTTTCGGCTGTATCCCAACCTCTACCTTTACACAACGTGAGTCACGGGCACAGAGTGTGGAAGGGTGACTTACGAGTTTCTCAACCCAATTCTTCACAATAGTCACCTCATTCTCGTTGCATCTGCTTCCTTCATCCCCGTCTCCGTCAAGTCTCTCAAAGTACTCGCAGCCAGCGGTATCGAAGAACACTACTGGAGTCTGTAGCATGTCTTTGACGTCTTCCTCCGAATCGGCATGTGTGTTGGGCAAGTCTTGCAGTAGGCGTGCCGCAACGGAGGAGTGGGATTGAAGTTTAGAACCATATAGGGTCTTGGACGGGAAGGCACAGATCTGAGCATGCATTCTATCAAGGGTGTAAGGAAGTGGACGGAAAAGAGGAAATAAGACGAACCGATATTGAACTTTGAGCATTCTTTTGATGCTGGGGCCGTACATCTTCTCGAGGCGGTCAAAAAGGGTGGTCTCCAGGGTGCGTGGAGGCATGAGCTCGATGCGCCTTGTTGTCAAAGTTTTGAGTTTCGAGGGCAGTGGCTCAGGAGTTGGGGCCTCCTCTCCTTCAATTTCTTGCTCTTCTTCCGACTTGTTCTCATCAGTACCAGAGCTTGCGCCGTCCTCCACGGGTTCCTCATGTTCTGTTTTCACTGTTACTTCTTTCTTTAATCCCGATGACTTGTTCGTGGCTATTGATGCAGATTTTCCAGCTTTTGCTTTTGCTTTCTTGTTGTTGCCAATTGAGAGTATAGTTGGAGGAAGCTGCATGGGGTCTCCCGCCAGTATGAGCTTCTTTGCTTTGAAAATGGGAATCCAGCAGACCTGCAGTTAATGGGAACGTCAATTGGGAGATAAAGTAGCACAACACACAGTGATACTCACAGCTTCGAGGGCTTGCGTCGCTTCATCAATGATAACGACGTCAAAGTCATGATAACGAAGCTGTCGGCCGCCAGAAGAATGACATGTAGCAAGAACGATCTGCGTTGATGAGGTTGAACGAAATGGATCTGAAACTGTTGCTAGAACGCACTTGTGATTCCCCGAGGACAGATTTCACAACCCCGCCTTCCCTCTGGCGGTACCTGGTCGGATGAGGTTCGTAAGACCTTAAAATCACAAAAAAAGGCGCGGTGAACAGACTCTTTTCGCAGAGCCTTCACTTCCTCCCACATCTTTTTACGCTCCGCGCCCCTTGGTCCCTTTCCTTTCACACTTTTTCCCTTTCCAGACAAAACTCCAAGAGCAGTCTCTAACTCGTTCTTGACATCTTTGGCCAATGCCGCCTAGCAAAGCATTTAAAGAGAAAGCTCAAAAAAAAAGGTGATGAACACACCTGCTCTGTCCGAGTAGCCTTGACCTCTAACGTGGATTCTATAATGCCTTCGTGTGTCATGACCCTAGCCGGGTGACCAATCCGTGTCACTTTTACCTTCTCAGACTTTCCGTCGGCGGGCAGCGCCAATAAACGCTCTAAGATGTTGTCGACTGACAAGTTGGAGGCGCCGCAGACGAGAAGTCGCTTGGGCTTCGGATTCGTGGGACTTTCAGCCGTCAGCTGGCGAATGATTTCGATCAACGTATGCGTCTTCCCAGTACCTGATCCGCATCAGTAAGAGAAGCCAATGATGAAGGTGAACATACCTGGAGGGCCGTGAATGCATGCTACTTCCGGGGATTCCAGGCAGAACTTGACAGCTTCTTTCTGACTCTCGTTTAGGTGTTCATCGAAAAAGACGATATTATCAAGGGGAATTCTTCGAGAGGGTGGCGTTATGCCGAGGAGGACTTGAATCAAAGGGTTCACAGCCGCTTTCGAGGCATCGCCCTGTAAGAGCTAAGTAATACTCTCAAAAATCCAGGCCGACACGACAGACAGAAGGTATAACAGTCTTCTCGATGTGATCAATTGCCTTGTCCATGCTGCTCAATGCTGATCAGAATTCTGAGCCTCATTTAACGCAAAGGAGATGTACCGATCGTATGTCACACTATTTGCAAGCTTAACGACTCGACAACGTTCTGGGAGGTCTAGGTCTTCTGAAGCAGAGTCTGATGGCTCGACCGCGATGACGATACGTGTATCAGAGACCTGTAGCATCGTAGAATCATCATGATAACATCAAAACCTGGTACAGGCTCACTCACTTTGTAAACGACGCCTTCCACCTGAGTCGACTTTGTGTCAGTCGAGGTTGGTTTTTTGGCCTTCTTCGTGGCCCCGCCCGATGACACATTAGCTTCAATCCGAGCAAGATCTCCTGGTCTAACGACACGTTATTCAAAGGAAATCCACAACTGGAATGGAATGCCAACCTGATCGTGTGTGGAGGGAAGAGTGGGCTAGAGTGATACGCGGAGGGGCGTTCTAATTCAACTAACCTACCCTTTGAATAGATCAGTGTATGTTGTTCGGAAAGATTTCGCTCTGAACGTACGTTTTTCCACCCAAACCGATGTTGATGCTTGAGACGCCAAGCCCGCCTAATGACAGTCCCTTCTGTTCTAGCAATTTGGGGCCACAGTTGGACAACAGCAGTGAGCTTCGTTCAACTTCAGCATCTCGTTCTTTGGCTAGTAGAGTACGTTGCCGCGCGATGAAGGCCGTAAGTTGAGCTTCCGTTGTCATCGTTGATCGAAAGATCACGACAACAGCCCTCAACAGCAACTTGTTCTTGACTTGTTCTACACGTCTACAACTTTGCACAGGTTGGGCGAACAAGAGGCTAAATTGCTCAAGAATCGATTTTTGGCGATGTCATTCATTACAGCAGAAGATCCGTTATAAATGCTTGCTCATAAGCGCGTGGCCTCTCACCCGGACCACTATGTGCATCTGCGACCACACCAACGATAACTTTTCTGTCAACGAAGTGTGGCGACCTGACGACAATGCTCAGCCAAAACCTCGCCGTCCGGGCTCCAGCGATATTTATAGGCCCGATGTTCTCGAGACGATTGAGTCTACAATCAAGGATCTGGATGCAGAATTGAGGGCTCTTAGCCTTGATATTCATGGTGAGTGCTCAAAGCGATACAAGCGATCTAATCTAGATGATATCCCCCTCGTCAGCGCATCCTGAACTCCGATTTGAAGAGTAGTACGTCTGAGTCGATAATCAGGTCCCCTTGCCGTACTCAAGAACCTTCCACAGTCATGCTCACGACGCTTACACTGAGTTCATGACCAAGCATGGATGGGAGGTGACGAAGCAGTTCCATCTCCCAACCGCATGGCAGGCTACATTTGCGCATGGATCGGGAGGGAGAACGATTGGCATCAACTCTGAGGTATGCTAGCTTTTCTGGGGAGACTTTGAACCAGTCTTAACCTATCTATTTAGATGGATGCATTGGAAGGTATCGGTCATGCATGCGGCCATAATCTCATTGGAATTTCAGGTAGCTTCCCCTAAATTTACTCGACGTTATTTCTTGCAAACATTTGCCGCTTTCCAGGTGTTGCAGTTGCGTTAGCCATTAGAGCCGCACTCGAGAAGCACGACATTCCCGGGAAGATTGTACTTTTAGGAACACCTGGTAGGAGACAGGCCTACCTACTCATCTGCCTTTGCTCAACCGAACGTGTTCGCCGACAGCTGAAGAAGGTGGCTCCGGTAAGGTGATTCTCCTTGAAAAAGGTGCATATAAGGGGATGGATGCCTGTTTAATGTGTGCAACGAAGCTAGCATTTCTTCATTCTTGAATTGATTCATTTGAGCAGGTGTCACCCTGCACCTGGCCCCGTCGGCTCGGTCAGCCTCTCCAGCTGCCTTGCTCTTCAGCGGTTGATCGTTGAATATCGTGGACATACGCACGTATACTATTTCTGCAATCGAGCTCCATTCTGATCCTATTCTAGCGCTCATGCGGCGCTTTCACCTTGGGAGGGGAAGAATGCACTTGATGCCGCCGTCCTCGGTTATAACAACATCTCGGCTCTACGTCAGCAGTTGAAGCCTACACATCGCGTTCATGGTATCTTTGAAGGCAAAGACTGGGTTGCAAATAGTAATTGCATCATCTCATCGTTTATTCCTTGGTCAACTAATTCATGTTTCCAGTCATTCCTGACTATGCAAAATTCATGTCGGTCTTGAAGATCTAATCAACACGAAGAGCTAATTCAACAGTTGATTCTTCAGCTGCTACGTCCGTGCACCTACGCGTGAAGAGATGCAAGAGACACTCAAGCGTGTGACCCCATGCTTCGAGTAGGCACCCGAAGTAATACTAGTGTTCTCTGAGCTAATGTTAGTCTTGCAGAGCCGCTGGTCTTGCCACAGGCTGTGAAGTCTCCATCGAGTACTTGGGCGCCACTTTTGATTTGAGGCAGAATAAGGCCCTTGGTAAGCTCGTTGCTGAATTCCTTCTCTACATTGTTAACAATACTACGCACTTACTCAGGAGACGAAGTCGCAAATGTCATTCTCAACAAGTATGGCTCCATCGACTATGAGTGGGGTATCAAAAGCGCGTCAACCGACTTCGTATGTCTATTTTGCCTCCTTTAAGATTGCGTAGTTGCTTAGAATAACCCAGGGAAATGTTACTTATGGTCTGTAATGGTTATCAGTGTACGGTTCCCCGTCTGACGAACTCATTCTATAGCACTCCCTGCGTTACACCCCGGATTTGGTACGCTACGATTTCTATGCCAAGACACCTAACAAGTTAAATGACCTTGTTTTCATAGCAATCCCAACTGTCAAGAACGGTGGAAACCATACGAGCGCTTTCGCTGAGTCCGCAGCAACCATTACATCGCACAATGCCTGCCTTGATGTCTCCAAAGCCCTTGCCTCTACTGGGGTCCGCGTTTTGGCAGATGACGAATTCTTCGCAAAGGTTTGGATGAGTTAGTTGTGGATGTGCCGAATCTCATATTTCGTCTTTTTTTAGGTCGTGAAAACTTTCAAGGAGGATGAGTTGTTGCGTGGTTCTATTTGATACTATGAGTATCAAGTTCCAACAAGCCGATGATAGTCCAGTTTGTAAATTAGTAACGTACAGAAAGCAATGGGAACCTCTGAATCGTGATGCGGGTACTGCTCAAGTACTGTTTGGCTCTTGATGCATTTGAACCCAGATGGTGGCAGACGCCTTGGCCAATTTTCGCCAAATACATACCGTGCTTGGCTCTTTCTTATAGTCGACCTTCTTACCCTAAAACGAGACAAACCTGATTCTCCTATGGAAGACGTCGACAACTTTTCAGCCTTCGTGTCTCACGATATTCCGTGTCTCAAATATCGCCCATCACCATGCCACCGCACACCGACGACAACCCTCCTTTGGATGTCTGTGCGTTGATGGAACATTATTATGAAGACACTTGCATTATTACACACTCAAGACATGCACTTCAATGGGCTCACATGCTGAACCCGGCCATAAACCCCGGCTGCAGAGTGAGTGCTACAGAGCTATCTTATCCATCAACTCTAACGACAGTAGCTCAAGGAGATGTTGGACCGCCACCTTCGTGAAGACAGGCACCCCGCACATTCAGCTGAGGTGCCGGAAAATATGGTGCCCCGTACGCTCCGCTTCATTCATAATTGATCAACGCTGATGTTCGTCAAAGTCAGAATCGACGTATATAACGGCATGGACTTTCCTAAAACTTTATGGACGCTTTTCTTGCATGAGGACATCATCGCTAAAACCCTTGCGTATGAACGAGATCTCAAGACGTATCGGTTGAATGAGATTAAGGCTGGTCTCGCGGATCCTGGAAGACCGACATATGACGAAGTGTTTGGGGTGAGTGACATGTAGATTCTCCTGTCGTCATTTTCATTACGACCATCATGCCAGGGATGTAGGGAAAATTTGCACCGTTGGCATTGTGCTCCCATAGTATGCGCATTCGGAGATGTGCAAACGTATCCGATGCACATCTATACGGCAGATGACTGTCCTGGCATTGAGCCGTACTCCAGTAACCAAATTCCCCCTATCAAAACGTTGCTATCCATCCCGTTCTCCCTCCTCCACAGCCTCCCTCGGTTGACTTCAATAGTATCCTCAAGTAAATATCACAGCGACCTTGTTACGATGGGACAAGAAATTGTAAGCTTATGGTATTGGGATCCTCTCCCGACTCGGAGCTACGAGGATCAATTCAACACATCTGTCAATAATCCATGCAATGCCTTACCGGTTCCCATATCTAACCGATCTGATACTTTCGAGGCATTGCGGCCCTCTGCTCATGACAAGGACCATCAACAGGCCGATCCCATGCAAGCTAGGCCAACATTCCAGTCTTCTTCTCGTCTGGATTTGGAAGAGACGACGCCTGGTACATGTCAAGGCTCCGAAGCTGGACTTCAGTCTTCGACTGACTCAGATAGTCTGGACAGGTCTTGGGTTACTGGGGATGCTGACTTTGGATTTTTTGGATACAGTGAATGTTCTTCTTCAACGGGCGAGGTGAAGCCTTTGAGCGAGCTACGCTCGTCGGACATCTTGACATGGGCCAACAACGTCATCGGTGGTGAGGAGAAAATGCTGCCTCTTATTGCGACCCCGTATGAGAAGGGTATCGTGGGCGGGTCTGCAAATGATGTACTCATGGTCAAGGGGTTGATACACCCGCTTGTGTATATTGACTACGTCGATCTGGAAAAATTCTCTTATCAAGTTTTGTGATGTGGTAAATCGCACTTAGTGATGTGGTGAATCGCACTTAGTGATGCCCAAGCAGCCTTTGTACCGTTAACTTCGCCGAATTTCTAATAGCCATGAACTCTGGAGGCTAGCGCCGTAAACAGGCAGATGCATGTTAGTATCTGAAGAGCCCCTCCTCGCCAACTCCTTGCTCATCGACGCATCGTCCGTGTGCACGGTACGGCGGGCCGACCACCGGATGGCGAACTGCCGGTGAGCAAATTGTTGACTCCTCGATCACGTAGATAACTTTTCAAATTACTATAGACACCTCGCCAGCTTATGACTAGGTGCAGCCAGAAATTCGCCTACTTCAAGCTTTTCTAAAGCAGCCGCTGCGCCAACCTCGAATTGCTCTACTGGCAACGTCATCATCTCTCCATGTCGAATCACTTCCATGACACCGCAAAGTCGGGCTGTGGAACAGGAACCAATGAGTTGTATGACCGGTAAGCACGACAATGCTGATACTCTTCCTTCGTTGCTGATCTCATGAAAGTATCCGCCCTTCTTACCAAGCACCGGCATCGTCTTTCATTCGCGCGTCGCACGCCATGAATATCGTGGAGTAGCCCGTTCCTTCAATGCCTTGACGATGATTTGATTTTTTCTATCAACCCTAGTCGAAGAATTGGCGTTGGAACTGGCATCTTCACCAGAGCCCTTCTGGCTCAACCTGAATGGGATTCCCCTGTCAAAGAGATTCGAGCCATAGAACCTAGTGAAGGCACGAGAAGCATGTTCTCGAAAGTCGTGAACGATGAACGCATAAGCATAAACCAAGGCACTTTTGACGCCACGGGAATCGAGAGTGGCAGATCTCACAGTCGTTGCACAGGTCTGTCGTGCTTTCAGTCCCTTAAGATCTCGCTGAACTAAGGACGCTGGCTAGGCCTTCCACTGGTGCCCCGACTACGAACTTGCAGCCGCCGAGTTCGACCGCATACTCAAACCGAAAATCTGGAGGACATCACAAGTAGTACAGGTAGGCATCCACCGTTGGGATCAAGCAGCGTGGGTAGCGCAAGTCCGCGAGAGGCTCGAACGTCACGAAGAAGGCACCCCTCAATTTCGTCTTGGTCTCTTACCAAGAGGCATTTCGGACGCCTCATGAGCAAACTTGGTCGTATAATCTGGAAGGAACTACCAATACCGTTATCGACCGAGCATTTAGAAAAAGCTACATCACAGTTTTGCCCCCCGGCTGTGAAGGCGGAGGTGCAGCAAGACTTTAGGCGCATATTGGACGACGGAGAGAACATATGGCTTGACGAGAAGCTTGGCATCTTTGAATACCCATACGAAACAATGGTAGTCGTTGCACAGAAGCTCTAAGCCTCCACGAACTACAGACTTCCCGGTTCTGGTCTGGTTCTTTCTGAATGCCGTCCCAAAACCGACTACAGAATCAACTCAGAACCAAACACTCTGCCCCGGGCCCTCTATTTACTGGTTGTTTACTGGCATAACAATCATACTTCATAAACCCAAGTTCCGGTGCTGTGACTGAAACGGACCCAAGGCGGGGGCTTTGCTTGCTAGGACAAAGGGAGATGGGAGTCACGAGCCTGTCGTCCTTACCATCTTTTGGTGGCTACCTCGCGTCGAACACAAGTCGAACATACACATCTTCGATCAAGTCAAACGGCAAGCGTGAGATAGTTTTCCTCTTCACCAACACTACAGCTACTAACTGTTTCAATGTCGCTCATCCAGTACCACCTTTCGACGATGTCTCGGCATATGAGCAAGTCTTGGACCGTATCGAGAACTCGGAACTTGGGCATAATCCCATGTATGACTTCAACCATGAAGAATCGCAGTGCGACGTCACGTGAAAGGTGAATCGTCGCCATCCTGACCGAGACCTGTTTCTCCCCAGTTCTTCCACCCTCGCCTGATGACTGATCTTCGGGAACTGTGCTATTTCGTTGAAGGCAATGAACTCACACAGGTGTTCTCGGTACCTGCAGACGCTAAGATGAATGTAGATGATCTGAAGGTCAGAATTCTCAAGTCTTCGTATGGCGTTAGGCTCTATGGTATACCAGTGGAATTCTGCCACTGCATAAGCTTGTCAGGACTCGGAGTCCCTGATTCCTCTTACCAGCTTGCTAGTATGGCGCGCCTTGGCCGCTATTGGTCATGCCAACCTCCAAAAAACGTTATCAGCATCTTCGTGACAATTTACGGTCATCCCTTGGTGACTTTCTCAGCAGTCCTGGAAGGTAGTGAGCCCTTCCCAGTTCAAGCGGGCATCCACACATCGGGAATAGACCTTCAAGAAGTCATTTGGGAAACTTTGAGTGCAAGGGGATGCCTCGTTCCTCAAACTTATCTCGACCTTGATTTATTATATGTGTGCCACATCAATTATATCATTTGGATTATGCTCACCCTTCAACAGGTGGACCATTCAGATGACACATTATCGGGGGAGCGTTGGCGTAAGCTTGAACCATTTACAGAACTCGCGGAAGTTATCCCGAACTTGAAGGAGAACTCACTTCAGGTCAAATTTTGGGGTGGTCCACGTCTCGCTTTGCAAGCTGTCGTGGAGGGCGAGGGAAACCGAACAACTCAAGTCGTCACAATGTTCAGCTTGAGCGTGGGTTTGTTTAAGAAAGACCTGTTAGCAACTATTAGGCCAGACCTATCGCGAGCAGGAGTGGAAGGGGTAATACTCGGCGTGGTGAAGTTCCTCACTGACTACATGATTTGTTGGCATTCATGTGTTGGTAGGTGTCATACCCTGGGCAATTGCTGGAGGAATCGGAGAAGTACCAGCTCCTGGAGGAGCGTCTTGTTTCAGAGTACTGGCCTTTCGAGCCTCCCCGTTCACAGTTAAGCCTGATTGTGCGCCTTCCCAGTGAGTCCCCTATATGCCATTCCATCAATTTTTTTTTCTAAACGTACCCCCCTCACAAGAGCACGACCACCTTCGCCCCATAGTGGGTTAGTTACATTTTTGCATCTTGCCAGCACCTCATGCTGACTTACTCGACCTAGCAGTAGGGCCCTTTGAGGAGAACCACGCCCTGGCGATCCTCTCTGCAAGCGGGGGCGATTTCATCGCCTATGATACATGTGATATTCCCCGTGACGATGACAAGTGCGATGTAGAACTAGAGCCATGCACTTTCATGGAGGTACCCTGGCTGAAAGCTTTGACGGGCATTCCATTGTCCGAAGTGTTGGTCCTACCTGAATACGAACTTGCTCTGAACGCAGTGTTGGAGTTCTTCGAGCGTGGCGCATACTCAAGCCAACAGACAAACTCTGGTTTTCTCGCAGATGGGAATCCGTTCTGGACGCACACAAGGAGGCCCGACAGCCGTCAGCTCTCCAAAATATTTACTTTGCACGGCCACGCAGGGATTGGTATGTACGTTGGTTTCCAACATCATCTCGGCTCACTGGTTTGATCCCTTAAAGGAAAAACAACATTTTTATCTGTGGTGCTCCGCCTTCGACTAGAAGCGGGGCTCCCCACATTGTTTATGAATGAGCCCAGTGGATTCTACTTCTTCAGTGAAGGAAAGACCTTTGAATATCGGGTCGACCGGGCACGGAAAATTCGAGCGAATGACCTTCCACATCTTCCACTCACAACATGGTGTCTCGTGAAAACGGGACGACATCTTGAGGAAGTTCCCGACTATCTACGAATGCTTTGTCTCTTCATACTCGAGGCCGCCTCTCCGCGTGGCAGTCATTTTAGGCGACCATCGAATACAACGACATGCACACAATACATCATGAAGCCATGGTCATTGAAAGACATCTTATCTGGGTAGGCCTATCAACTCATTCGGATTTTCAATGTTCTTTACATTTGTGCCATATAGGCGACAATTGCAGCAGCATGTACATCCAGAACGTGTCTTGGCCAATGCCTTTGCAAACTTTGGGCCTTCAGCCTGGATAGTATACTCACAGGCTGGACATATATTGACTTGGGAGAGTCGACTAAAAAGTTATGCTCAGTCTGTTACAGTCGGCGCGCTGGAAAATGCCATCAATGGAACCAATGTACTACCCCTGGAAGGCCGTATTTCTCCCTTTCTTCTTGTCCTTAGACCTGGGAAACACCGCGCCGACCGCGTTGTTGCCATCTCCACTGATTTCATAGCCACCTTAATATCCAAAGTGATAGAAGCTGAGGGTCAGAAATCGATGCACAATGCCACTAGAACTTGGAATATATCAGGGGAAGTCATCATGTAACTTCTATGACCAACTGGAGTTGTTCCAAATATTGAGTGAGGAACGGTCACGACTCCCATTTCCAGATTGGTCCAGGGCATGTACCAGACCGTGTGTGCGGTGAAACACACCCAAGTTTTCTACAACAGATGGGTTAGAACCAAAACTGCATCCTCGAAACTTATCACCACCCTCAAACAAAAACCCACCTCAACAGGCCGATGAAGCGGAACAGCATTCAGGTGCTGATATATATGTGCTCTGGTGCTATGTTTCCTGCCTGGAATCCTCAACAAACTCTGCCTACTATCTGGCGAGCCCAACTACAGTGACACCTACAGGGCTTTCTCAAGTCTCAAGATTTCAAGTCTTATATCTTATATTTCAACGAACGAATATTGTGGTGTTTGCGCTAAGTTACACTTGCCTTACACGAACTAGTAAGGACATATTCTCATTCATTTTTGCTTGGTCAGTGGGTAGAAAAGTAGATTATTTGACAAGAGATTCACCATCAAAAATACCAGCCAAATGGTAGGCTAAGTGAGGAGTAGATTTTCGCAGCGAGTTGAACTTCAAGTTGCTCGAACCTTGAATACATAACAAAGTTACAAACATGCGCAAAGCGCTCCTGATCATATCCACCCATCAACCACCCATCTCACCTATTCTCATCAACCCTTGAGGCAGTTACATATCAAGGTGAGTATGTATGCCTCGTCCAAGATTGATGAAAAAGAATTGAAGAGATGCCAGAAGTATGCCAGAACATGGTTGCCATCATTCTGAGCATGAGTCCGCTCGGTACGCTTTACTCCGACAAGTTGCAGCGTTAGAATCAGAAATGGAGGACACGCGGGCCCAAATAGCACAAAAGCAGGCTTTTTTGCTTGAACAAGAACAGCAACATCGACGATTAGAATCACAACTGAATGCTCTATCCCCAATCGATCAACTTCCAGCGGAGATCCAGACTGAGATATTCTGCAATGCGTTGAGCCGGCTACCTTATGGGGAGGGGAATCCTTTTTTTCTAGGTAAAATTTGCCGAGGTTGGAGGGATTTTGTTTGGTCGTCTCCCGTGTTTTGGACGAACATATACCTCCAACTAACACAAAATGACTGCAAGGCTAAATCCATTCTTCTCCGGGACTGGCTGTCCAGAACTGCGGGGTGTCCCCTCTCCTTTTGTCTTGTGTCGGGTCAGAGTAAAGACTGGAAGGGAAGGCCCTCTCTGAAAGAAATCTTGACCCTGTTAGCGTCAGTATCAACGCAGTGGAAAGAAATTGAGTTCTTCCTTCCCGACAGCAAAAGTTGTTATAATGCCATCCCCACGGCTAGAGATTCCCTTCCTCTTCTCACCGCCGCTACCGTTAATTTTGAGTCAGGAGAACGACCGTTTAATCTATTCTCAGTGGCCTCACAGCTCTCAACACTTCGTATCAACAATATCCGCCTGGTCAATGTCCTGGCTCCGTGGCACCAATTAAAGGAATTCATTTCGCATGATATTTGGCTGCATGAAGTTCGTGAATTTCTTCAAAAGGTGCCTAATATCGTTCGCTGCACACTCACCTGTGGTGGGTCATCCATCCAGGGTCAACAGCAAGACGTGTTTGTGCGGCCCCTCGTGTTGGAATGTCTGGAGTATCTCAGCCTCAACATTATTTCAAATGGGGTTGGGATAACTCAGATGTTGGAGTCAGTCGAGCTACCTTCCCTTCGTGAGGTCTACCTCTGCAATTCTTCTTCATCGCCAACGGCCATCTTGCCTACAATCATGATGTCATTTTGCTCCTCGCATCTCTTGGAAAAGGTCACTCTTACAGGTGAAATTACTTCCGATGATGAATTGTTCCAGGTTTTGGGTTGTATCCCATCTACAAAGGAATTAATCCTCGAATTTGATGAGGATCCAGACGTTCAGCTACTCACAGCAAGGCTCCTTCAACAACTCTATCCACCCCATGCAGATATTCTTCTTCCGAATCTGCGTAGCTTCGCGTACTATGGCTCTAGTACATTGGACGAACACATGCATTTGTTCCGCGATATGCTTGTGTACAGGTTCCGACAGTGCGCTTTGCGACCGGCCGAAGTGGACTCAAACCGAGCGACTGTATCCCAGATTCAATCAGTGGCTGTGATTACCCTGTATAGCCTTGTCATGGGTCCGGACATACAAGAAGAATTAGATTGCCTTGTGAAAGAAGGCCTTGAACTTTCGTTAACATCAGTACTAGCCGATGGGATGCCGGTCCAATATTATGGGTCGTAACGAGCTGCATTAACGCATCGTAGAGTCAACCGGCAACGGTCACGTCGTCGTCTTCCGAGTCGGCGTCAAGTGATTCTCCTGTCCTTTCACTCGTCGCCCATGACTACATGCTCCCTCCATCACGTTTCTCATTACTCGCTCCCTGTTCCTTAACATCGCGACGTCAAAACGTTACATCAGGAAAACGTCCGATTGAACCCCACCATTATAAAGTGCGAACTATACATAAATTGTGCACAAGGCCCCAGACGGTGGAAAATGTGATCTTCCTGCAAAATTCATCCTAGAATTCATGCAGGACGGGCGTACTCCCGACCGTGTTGCCCTCACCCGCCTCTCCAACTGTCCTGCACAAGTATACTCAAATCTTTGGATGGTTCTTCACAACCCCAATTCACACTCATCACCGACCACGCGGCCCTACAATGGGCAAAGACATGAGATTTCCAACCAACAACACGCTGCATGGGGTACAGTCTTTTCAGCTTGCGCTCCAAATATCTCCCTCGTTCATCGTCCGGGCAGAAAGCATTCGAACCTAGACCCTCTTTCCAGACTGTATCGAGCCCCTCCTCCACAGGATTCTCCAGCGAGGGGCAATACGGTGGCCTTAGAAATGAGCCCTACCCACATTGACTTCTCTGCGAATCCTTCCTTGGGCAAGGCGGTGTTTATGGCGCTCAGCATAAACGATTCAAGTCTAGAGGGAGTCAAAGAAGCCATCCCTGCCGTTCCTGACTCCACCATTGACTTGCCCACTTTCACGGCAACATCCCATTCGGCAGTTCCGCGCCAAACATGTTCATCCACTCTCACCACAGCGCCACGCTATGCACTTGCTTGTACTACAAGAAAAGTTGAAGACCACGCACAACAATGAGATATAAGAATATGAACGACAAATGAAACAAGTTCAAGAAGTCAGTAGTATTTATGTTTCAATGTGTTTAAGTTTCCGCCACTTGGCGGCATTCTCATCTGCATTACCTTCCCACTGACTCGGAGTTGTACCCTCCCTAACTGATGCTTTCCAGTTGGGTTGTTCCGCAAAAGATTTTTTCAGTGCTTCGAGTGCAGCAGGATTTGCGAATGGGTTGGTTGGGATGAAGACCTTTCCCGATGCATTAACATCAGGGATTGGCCCGGGAGCGCGGGGACGACGAATGGGTTTGCTGCCACGAACGAGACCGCCACGGCTACGCCCATGCCCACCAGACTTACCACCATGGACATCAGTAGTAAGGCAATCAACCGAACGGATAGGTAAAGGGACAGCTCGATCCTCACGCAGTGGCCAGTAGCCACGCACTCGCATTTCATGAAAAAGAAATGCACCATGAAATGGCACTCGGTCGTCACTTGCGTCTAGGTTTATTGCTTTTCCATGATAGACTTCTTCATTCCCGGATTGGCAATGGTTGATAAAAATAAATTGTCTTTGCTACAATTGGGTCAGACTCGGGGGTGTGGCTTGAGAGACTAGAAAAAAATACCTCAGGCATCCAACGTATATAGTAGCAATGTGCATTGAATAGTGCTTGGTGGCTAGCACACAGCTGAATACCGTTTCGTGGCTCATGCTCCACACTTTTTGCTGTTCGAGGCACGAAACCAGTGTCTCTCATCTCGTCCCACTGTACCATGATCAGTTCTGATATGGTAAAACAGTGATTCATAACGCACAGTGTCAGTTTCTGACGTCGGGACGATGTGGCAGTAATCCAAGGCCCGTCGTTCAGAGCAACCACAAACGACACAGCGACCTCCATCGCGTGTCTGAATACTTGTTTCAAAGGCTTCCGTTCCTGATACAGAAGAGATGTCATGTTGCGAGTATTCGAATGGGTTACCCTCGAGCAGGTTGAATGGCTTTGGAATCCACTGCGCCACTGCCGGCGACTTGTCGCGATGAGGAGCCTGGCGTTTGACAGGAGCCATTGAAGGAACGTTGAAGGTGGAACAAGCAATGAGTTGAAGTGCGAAACATCCGGAGTTCTCAATTAATTATAGGGGCCGGATTGGGGCCGAAAGCCAAATATAGGTCAAGCTGCGATCTGGAGCTGCGTTATGTTCCTGGCTGGACAAACTCTGCCTTCTATTTGGTTATCGACGGATTGACACCCAACTCCCTTTGTTGTCCTTTACACTCATCATGTCCATCGCCGATATCGTAGGCACACTCTCAAGAGCCAACCTCCCGACCCCTGAGGAGTTCCAAAAGCGCAAAGTCGCGCTCATCTCTGGTCTGTACTACTCAATCTATTCATCTACCTCGTGTGCACGACGTCGTCTGACTGATGGGCTTTGGTTGTTTCGTAGGCATTACTGGGCAGGACGGGTCGTATCTGTGAGTAGGCGCCTAGATAAAGCGACGCCTGATCAATCTGACGTGAACGGGTTGTTGTTCAGGACTGAGTTTCTGCTGGACAAGGGGTACGAGGTGCACGGCATCATCCGTCGTTCTTCGAGCTTTAACACTGGGCGGCTGCACCACCTATACGAAGACCAGCATGAACGTACGTAGCCCCCCTTTTCCCCTTATATATATGCGCGCCCACACCGCACACGATAGGTCCGATAAAGTTCAAGCTCCATTATGGTGACCTAAGCGATAGCACCAACCTCGTGTACATCATCGCCCAGGTCCAGCCTACGGAGATCTACAATCTCGGTGCGCAATCACACGTTAAAGTCTCTTTCGAGATGGCAGAATACACAGGGGACGTCGACGGGCTAGGCACCCTCCGCCTCCTCGACGCTATCCGTACATGCGGGTTGGAGAAACATGTTCGGTTTTATCAAGCTTCGACGTCAGAGCTGTACGGCAAGGTCGTGGAGACGCCTCAGAGCGAAACGACGCCTTTCTACCCCCGCTCTCCATATGGCTGTGCGAAATTGTACGCTTATTGGATTGTGGTGAATTATAGAGAGGCATATGGGATGTATGCGTGTAATGGGATTTTGTTCAATCATGAGAGTCCGAGGAGGGGACGGACGTTTGTGACGAGGAAGATTACGAGGGCTGCTGCGGATATTTCGCTGGGGAAGCAGGCGTGTTTGTATTTGGGGAACTTGGATGCGCGTCGTGATTGGGGCCATGGTGCGTTGATCACTTTGACTTGGTTGATGAGTTTTCACACAGACTTTGGGCAGCTCGTGATTATGTAGAGGGGATGTGGTTGATGCTGCAGCAGCCCGCCCCTGAGGACTTTGTTCTCGCCACGGGAGAGACTCACCCCGTCCGTGAATTTGTGGAGAAATCGTTCACTGAAGTGGGGATTGAGCTCAAGTGCGTCTATTTCAACCTGAAGATGATAACTTTTTCTAAATCATGTCATCAGGTGGGAAGGAACGGGAGAGGAGGAACACGCGATCGACGTCAAGACGGGGAAGAGCGTCGTTAAAGTCGACTCTAGATATTTCCGTCCCGCCGAAGTCGAGTATGTCTTTTTTTTTGTTTCGTGTGGCATGGATGAAAGCAGCCTGCTCATATTTCCTTCCATTCTTCCAGGCTCTTGCTCGGCAACCCGGCAAAAGCAGAGCGCGTTCTCGGATGGAAGCGGAAAGTGGACTTTGACTCTCTCGTTCATGAGATGGTGCAAGCTGACCTCAAGGCTGCTGGTAGTTTGGTTGAGGATCAGAACTAAGTATTAGCTCGTTTGAACTTTTCTTTCTCTCGTTGGACTTGGAACTGGAACTGGAACTGGACATGGTTTTCTCCTCTCGAACGAAATGTACAAAGTACATATTGGACAGCTGTATTTCGAACGATTGACTGTGTACTTTACTTACTCTACCCCGTAGCACGTCGGGAAATTCTATTTCTCGGCCGGGTTCGGCCTGCTCTCCCAAGGCTCTGATCGGCGCCGTTCGGTGGAAGTCATCTCAAAATCCAAACAGGAAGTGGTTCGGTAGAAAAGCAAATTTTGGGAGATTATCACTTGGTAACAGGAAGGCATAAGTACAATGCGTGCTGCGACGATGCTGATAGGATATCCAAACAGGAATGTAGATCACCAGTCAGACCTCTGGAGGTCAGTAATTTAATGGATGATAGAGCTGCCGTAGGATACATTGGATAGTTGAAAAAATGGAGGCCAGCCTGAGCCTGGTTTGGGCAGGATAAAGAATTCAGTGGCCGTAGTTGGGTGTGAAGCAGGATGTGGCATGTGGTGATGTGGATTGCTCTGGTGATTCTGATTCTGATGTTGGGCAGGCGAATGATGTTGGTGAGGGTGTTCCACATATTGTTGCATTGTGCGTGTATCGCTTGTACCAACGGTGGTTACTACAGCATTGGTTTTGCCATTGTCCCCGAAACCAAGTTCTATACTAACATATTCTTCCAGTAGTGTGCGTCGAGGTCGGAAGCGTGGTGCACTGTTCCAGGGGGATATCCCCCGTGGTACTGACTCCGATGTTGGGCGGGCGCATGATGTTGGTGAGGGTGGTCCACGTATTGTTGCATTGTGCGCGTATCTCTAGTACCAACGGTGGTTACTACGTCATTGTCCCCGAAACCAAGTTCTATAAGCATATTCTTCCAGTAGTGCGCGTCGAGTTCGGAAGCGTGGTGTACTGTTCCAGGGGGATATCCCCCGTGGTACTGATTCTGATGTTGGGCGGGCGCATGATGTTGGTGAGGGTGGTCCACGTATTGTTGCATTGTGCGCGTATCTCTAGTACCAACGGTGGTTACTACGTCATTGTCCCCGAAACCAAGTTCTATAAGCATATTCTTCCAGTAGTGCGCGTCGAGTTCGGAAGCGTGGTGTACTGTTCCAGGGAGATATTCCCCGTGGTACTGATTCTGATGTTGGGCGGGCGGATGATGTTGGTGGGGTGGTGCACGTATTGTTGCATTGTGCGCGTATCGCTAGTATCAACGGTGGCTACTACGGCATTGGTTTCGCATTGTCCCCGAAACCAAGTTCTATCAACATATTCTTCCAGTAGTGCGCGTCGAGTTCGGAAGCGTGGTGCACTGTTCTAGGGAGATATCCTCCGTGGTACTGAACCAGCCCATTACTTAGGTGGTTGCCGTTTCCGATAGAGTTCCTTCCGGAAAGATCGGGTCCTAGCGGTTCGGTAGAAATCATCTCAAAGCCCTGCCAGATTTGCTCCGCATCAAGATTGGTTGGGCGTTGTTGGGTGTGTAGATGTTGGTGTGGTATGACAGTGGCGGGCATGGCTGGATCTTGCATCTGGCTGTCTGCATTCGAGAAGGGTATACCGGGTGGATATTGAACAAGCTGGCCACATATTATGCAAATCTCGCTTTGACTGGGGTATTGGTGAGCAACAACAACGCTTCTTGACACATCTGCTGTGAGGGTTATCTCCTCGCGAAGATACCCAGGACAACAATGGGAAACCAGTTTATGAGGTGACGCTGTAATACGACGTAGGGGAGAATCTGCTGAGGATTCCGAAACGCGGGCCAAGTAGTCCTCGAAACGGCGCGCTATAGACTCGAGGCTTCGATTGTTTGCACTCTTTTCAAGTTTCCACCGCACCTCGCGCCGAGGAGTTTTATGGGAGGTTCGTACTTCCGTCGAGCTCGGAACGTCCCCGGCGACGTTTGAGTGGCCTTCCCAATTGGTTTGAGCCACCCTTGAGTAATTTTCGACTACGTCGTCGGCGTCGAGTTTCCTCTCTGGAGAATCGTCTGTCATTGACTTTTAGCAGCCGTTGAAGACTTGGAAATGAATGTGGTACCATAAAGGATCGAGTTGACCTCCGAAAACAACTGGAGTGGAAGAAGAAGATTTGTCTCAGCGATGGATAGGTCTGTCTACCATAGAACGAGTACGAACTTTCTGGCAGACCCCGTTCAATATCTCGATGCCACCACGGTGGTCTTCTGAATGGTAAAAAGATGGAGCCGGATGGAGTCCATGAGCAGTGGTATCAGGTAAGTGAACTGAAAGAACTGGCTGATCGCAGTCACCAGCAAAAATGTCGAAGTTCTGATCCTCGAAAATAAGAGTCTTCTCAATGCGAAAGGCTAACCTTATAAACTCACCTCCCATTTCAGATGGCTAACTATGCCCTTCGATAGAAGGTTCTGAGATTCCACGTAACTCAGTCCTGCCTAGAAGACGTATTTCAGACAAACCATAGCTGAGACAAAGCCGTCAATACCGCGAGCCCTTTGACCTGGTGCCATTCGCATGATTAAACCACATCACCATCACCAACAAAATAACTAACCGTTTTCATCGATAGCTGAACACTTTTATTCAGATCGGTACGCAACGTTTTAGCTAACAACGAGTTCATTTTTCTGTCAGATACTGATATCCCCATGAGTTTAATGTGTTGGAGAGAATGCTAGAAACTCACTTCCCTGAAAAACGATGAATGGACTTCCCCATATGTTTTCGCCAGAAATCCCAATAGTTTTTGGAACATTGGAATGGCTGGGTTTTGAGCGAGTCATTAGAAGATACGAAAGAACGTGGATGATATTCACAGAAGGTTTTTGGCTAAAGTAAGATTGAGCTTCCAACTCTGCAAGAGTTACGATTGATAGATCTCCGAGTGGAATGAAATTTTTTTTACCTGCTTGGCGCGAGGCCCATCGAAAACCTTGACCGCCACAACGCGCCCTCTGTGGAATGCCGAGTGTGTGCGATAATTGCGACCACTCGTTAGTTGTCCATGCAAGTCTATATCCTTTGGATGTACAATCTATGAAACGGAAAAGAACTTCGTCAAGGGGAGTGATTCATGACAAGAAGCGAACCATCAGGCCGTCCGAAGTTTCATCCCGAACTTCTCTATGTCTCTTTCTAGGCCCATTTACTCCCTCATCACTTTTCTCTGGATCACGCTCTCTCCTTTTCCCCAGTAATTGTGTTGCAATGCGCTCTGGACAATTCATTTAGTAACATTATTGAAACATTGAAATTTCGGACCAACCTGTAGATTCTGCAGACATCGCGAAGTGGACGTTCAAGTCCCCACCAACGTCATACATAAGATTGTCTTTGAAGGTAGAATATGAGGCATGGGCTAAGAAGGGCATGTGGTTTATCGCTGAAGGTGCAAGACAAGCGCGAGAGAATGCGAAGCGCCGTTACATCTGGGGGTAGAGTAGACTTGAGGCTGTGATCAAGGACAGCCAACTTGAGGAGGGCTCGGGGACCTCACCGAGTTCGGCCCGCTCTCCGAATGACACACTGAACGATTTGACTGACAATCGTACGACGAACAACCACCATCACTATCTATACTACTCCCTTTGAACGACATGAGGCTCGAAGGACCACGAGCGTCATTAGACCTCACGCACGTCTTATGTGAGTCTCCCCAGACACCGAAAAAGGAACGCAGAAATGGAATTGACTGCACCAGAAACAGATGATGATACATCGCTCTTTTCGTTGGCACTCGCGCTGATTACGCTGAGCCCGATTTTACTCATGGTCAGACTCAAATTTCTCGGGCCTCCACACTCTTAAGGATAGTGAACTGAGAAAAAGATAATGTGACATAGGCATCGTACGCGGCGCTGGCAGTGCAGACAAGGGAGTTTCTCATCATCACGATGTGGATTGGCCAAGTTGCTTGTGAGCTGTTGAATTGGGTTATTAAGCGGATTATCAAGGAGGAAAGGCCTATTGGTATTTTACTTCTTCCTCACTATAGAAAGATGGCTTTGCTGATTCGTTTTTTTTTTTTTCACGTTTAGGAAGTATAGGAAACGGATATGGGTTCCCGTCGTCTCATAGCCAATATATGGCTTATTTTGCTACTTTCTTGATTTGCCATCTTTATGTCAGGCATAGGTTTTCGTCTGCGGGGTATCCCCTGTTAGATGGCCTGTGGCGTGTGGTGGTTTATACTGGGGTGTTAGCTTGGGCTGGGCTCGTTGCGTATTCACGGTACGCTTCATTACTTGCCACACGTACAATATGCTGACTTCTCGTGTGGCAGGTATTATCTTGGATACCACAACGCGCGCCAAATCATCTGGGGGCTGAGTATCGGTTCTTTCCTTGGTTTGGCGCTGTACGTTGTATCAGAGCTTGTTCCACGGTGTTGGCCGTCTTCGTATTTGGGGCGAACGAAGATTTGGTTGTTGAGTAATCCGGTGTCGACGTGGTTGGAGATACGGGATGGGTGGGCAGTGTGGCCGGATGCAGGGCGGGAGAGTGAGTGGGTGAGGTGGAGGAAGAGGTGGGAGGAGGAGAGGAGGGGGAGGGAGGCGAAACGGACGCAGTGATTGTTTGATTTTGGCGTGTATATCTGTTGGTGAGTTCATTGGAGTCAAGTGCATGAACATTTGCTCATTTTTTTTGTAGATCTAGCTTTGATATACTTTGTAGTCGGTGTTTCTTACCACCTCGACGGGTCAACGACATGAACGAACCAAGCATCACGAAACCAACTTCGTCAAGCACCCTCTGTGTTGGCGGTGAAACGGTGCTGCTGCTGCTGCTGGTTTCTGAAGTGCCTATCCTGAAGCCCAAAACGATTCACGTCGTACCAACTTGTCGGTGCCGGCCCACTGGGGCAATCATGCTGCAGTCCCGGAGGGGATGAATGGACATGAATGAGTAGTCAACGACACATATAGAATAACGGCTAGAAAGCAGATTACCCGTGAGCGGGCTAAGTTCGAAGTCTGCGTGTAGGAGGTCGGCTACATATCATCACCATCGTCATAACCGATGCCTACGGGAGATTATTAGAGATAAGGTAGGTGAACCAGTAAATCACGCGACCGTGATTTGTTGGTCGGAACGGTCGGAATATTGAGAGTCTAGATCTAATTCTTGTCTATTTCCTTCCTCTTCCTTGACGTCCTTCATGCTCAGGAAAGCTCTTCCGAGAGTTTTGCCTCGCTCTTCACGAGCCTTCCACGACTCCCCCTCAGTCGCAAAGCTTGTCGCCACTAACCCTGCCAAGGCCGAGGAAGTCAAGGTGGGAAACGCGCTTCAGCCGATACACGCTTCTTCTCACCTTTCCACCACAGTCATGGTCATCGGGAAAGTACCCATTAATTGAACACGAGTTCGATGCGGTTGTCGTGTTTGTCTTCAATCTGCATTCCGAGTCTTGCCATTCATGAGTCAAAAACTTTAGAGGCGCTGGTGGTGCTGGGTTACGCGCTGCCTTTGGTTTAGCTGAAGCTGGTTTCAAAACGGCTTGTATCACCAAGTTGTTCCCCACCAGGAGTCACACCGTCGCTGCTCAGGTGCGTTTGAACCACCTTTCCTGGCTCCCCCCTGTTGTTAAGCCTATGTATATGTAGGGTGGTATCAATGCTGCTCTCGGGGTATGTACTATCCATTTCTGCAAGTATTTCATCTAATTTGCGTTGTCTAGAACATGACTGAAGATGATTGGCGATGGCATATGTATGATACTGTGGGCGCCATACCACATACCACCTGCTAAACCTGGTCGTCTGACGATTCTCCATGCTGTAGGTCAAAGGATCCGACTGGCTTGGTGACCAAGACGCGATCCATTACATGTGTAGAGAAGCTCCCCACACTGTCATTGAGGTTTGCATCCGGTCATTACTTTCCAAGACCCTCAATTGATTAGATTTTACCCGTGCAGCTTGAACACTACGGCGTGCCTTTCTCGCGTACACCTGAGGGCAAAATCTACCAACGCGCCTTTGGTGGTCAATCCTTGAAATACGGAAAGGGAGGCCAGGCCTACCGTTGCGCAGCCGCCGCTGACCGTACTGGCCACGCCCTCCTGCACACGCTCTACGGCCAATCTCTGCGTCACAACACCAATTTCTTCATCGAGTACTTTGCCCTCGACTTGATCATGCAAGACGGCGAGTGCGTAGGTGTCATTGCTCTGAACATGGAAGACGGCACACTCCATCGTTTCCGCTCACACAAGACCGTCTTGGCGACGGGTGGTTATGGGCGAGCGTACTTTAGCTGCACGAGCGCCCACACTTGCTCTGGAGATGGAAATGCGATGGTCGTTCGTGCCGGACTTCCCCTTCAGGATCTGGAATTTGTCCAGTTCCATCCCACGGGTATCTATGGTGCCGGGTGCCTTATCACAGAAGGTAAGTTTTCTTACACGCCATCAACAAGCGCGTTTGGCTGACGTTCTCGTTTTAGGTTCTCGTGGTGAAGGAGGGTATCTCCTGAACTCTGAGGGTGAACGATTCATGGAACGATACGCGCCTACTGCGAAAGATCTCGCTTCGCGTGATGTCGTTTCCCGTTCCATGACAATTGAAATCCGCGAAGGTCGTGGTGTTGGTCCTGAAAAGGATCATATTTACTTACAGCTGAGCCACCTTCCTGCTGAAGTCCTCCACGAGCGGCTGCCCGGAATCTCTGAAACTGCCGCCATCTTCTCTGGTGTCGACGTCACCAAGGGGCCTATCCCGGTTTTGCCCACTGTGCACTACAACAGTATGGATCTTTCTCTCGATGAATGGACTCGTCTCTGATGGGTCTTTTCTCTCAGTGGGTGGTATCCCTACCAAATATACCGGCGAGGTTCTTACCGTTGACAAGGGTGGCAATGACAAGATCGTCCCTGGTTTGTACGCTGCCGGAGAAGCCGCTTGTGTGTCCGTGCATGGTGCCAACCGTCTTGGTGCAAACTCACTGTTGGATATCGTCGTGTTCGGCCGTGCTGTCGCCCACCATATCCGAGACACACTGACACCTGGCAAGCCGCACAAGACGATCCCTGACGAGGCTGGCATTGAGAGCATCGAGTTCCTGGACAAGATTAGGTATGCTTTTGTTGTGAGCTTCTTGAGATGTAGCTAACGAACGGTTTCATTAGGCGTTCTGACGGCCCAGAGCCAACTGCCAAGATCCGTCTTGACATGCAGAAGGCCATGCAAACGGACGCTGCTGTCTTCAGGACCCAAAAAACTCTGGACGAAGGTGTCGAGAAGGTTCGCTCCATCTATAAAAACTTCGATAATGTCGGTATCAAGGACAGGAGCATGATTTGGAACTCGTGAGCATTGTCCCCTTGAACCGTTTGTGTCGAGTTCTGATTGGGGTGGGATATGATGTAGGGATCTCGTGGAGACGCTTGAACTGCGCAATATCCTCCAGTGCGCCATCCAGACTATCACCTCTGCTGCTGCCCGTAAAGAGTCTCGTGGTGCTCATGCTCGTGAAGATTTCCCAGACGTGCGTTCTCCGTTCACTTCCGTGTAGATTGCCAACTCATGTCTCTTTCTAACCAAAACAGCGTGACGATGAGAACTGGATGAAACATACCCTTTCATTCCAGCACGATGTCAACTCTCCCGACGTCGAGCTGAAGTACCGCAAAGTTATCGACACGACGCTCGATGAGGCCGAGTGCAAGCCTGTGCCTCCGTTCAAACGTGTGTATTAGATGACAACGGCGTCGGATGGTCGGCCTTGGCGGTTGGGTTGTAATGTACCCCATCACCTCTATTCAGTATGCTTAGGTACTATGAGAGACCCTTAAAATAATTATGGAGAATAAATACATCAAAGCAACTAAGTACGACATGACTGTGATTTGCGCGAGCTACTGGGTTCTTGCTAGTCACTGGGGTCGTAGCGCATAATAAAAAGCCATTGGGGGACGTAAACATTGGTTGAAGGTTGGGTTGTGCACCGGAGTTGTCTATTTATTTTTGGCGGGGGCTGTCGCCGACGTGAGGAGAGGCGAGGCGAGGAAATCGGCCAGAGGAGAGGCGAGGAACTGGTCCAGAGGGGAGGTCAGGAGCCCTTACATGTCAACATAGGAAGAGTGTTCAAAGCTGTCGAGGAACTTGAACTCTGGAGAGGCTGTGTAAACAGAAGCGTCATGAGTCAAGTGAGACCGGTAGGCCAGGCATCCCGGCGAGACCAAATTGACTCAAGTTGGCAGCGTCGAAAGCGTCTGTGGGGAGGTTTGGACTGGGCACCGGCTGATGCCGACCATCAGAAACATCGCGGCCGAGGGTGAGGAGGAACTCGTTTACGGCTGCGAGCTCTTCTGGGGTGCGGATCTCCAAGGAGGTGGAGCGCGGGTTGAAAGAGGTGCTGTAGTTTTCATCCGTGTTGCCATGCTGGTGGTAGACGAGGTTATTCAGACATTCTGCCATTCCTGCAAGGAACGATTAGA